GTAACGTAACTACGAACGTCCATACTGGCGTTTAAGCTTCTTTTTTTGACAGTCAATACTAAACCAGGCAAAACACTTATCTGGAGACACATTTTCGCTCCTGGGTGTGCCATGAGTGGCTGTGAAGTCAGTGTATTCCCAAACCTCCGTTTTTTGCCCTTTATGCTTAACCGTTGACCTCCATTTTGAAAAGTCTCCATCTTTGAGGTCCTTTATTTAGAAAACACCGGCTTTTTTATACCACTGACGCATTTTTGGTTACGCACGTAAATTTTCGTCACGTAAATAAAATAGTTGCAAGAGGCAAGATAAAAAGCGCTGAGCTTAAACGAGAATCTGAGCAAGGTTCAACTTCTACGCTTACGAGCGACCTTTCATGCATTGCCTCTATTTTATTTGCGAACGTAAATTTTACGCACGTACGCACATAAAAATTACGCGACACTGGAAATCAACCCTTAGTGTGAACGAAATGCCAAAACGCAGTAGGCGTTTCTAAACAAATATGCACTAGTGGGAAGCGGCATAGATTATTTATTGAGTAAATCGAGCACGTTTGGTCACAACATGAAACCTTCTAAGATCCTTTATTGAGCTTAACATTTGTACTTGTAGACTAATACTTTCATTTGTTTATTCCATCAATCGAGGAGGGTCAAATCTGAAATTCCCTTTCTATGAACACTAGAAGTCGGTTCTTATACAGGTACAGATTACTCTTGTACTACGACGTGAGTGCTATGATTTTTAATTGTTGCTGACTCATGTATCAGAGCTTTGGCTCAGAATAGTTTCAAAACCTTTTTCGTGCCACTAATTTAATGCCATATTTTAATTGTTGTTTTGCTGAGTTATTAAACAGATCAGTTTCAGATCGCTTGTGCACAACGTGCTGTGGCTTGGTAGCAAGAAACAACAACAATCGTTCAAGCTATGACTGTTTTAAAATCTGACGAGTGTTTTGTCTCCATCGAGTTTTTCCAGGCTATTGATTTGAAGCATAGCCTTCGGTTATTCACATCACGTCACATTTATATAGTGACCGTATTTTTAACTGCTTGTGCTCAATCCCAGCGCGTTGCGTCGCACAGTGATCAGGTTTTTGATGTTAGCCGGCACAACTTACTAATACCGTTGTATTGAAACTAAATAAAACAAGAGGTTGAGTCAGTTATTGCTGATCTCAACGATTTCAAAATATATTTTGAAAAGACACTTCTCCTTCACACTTTCTAAGGTCAATATTCAGAAACCACTTCCTCAACAGACGCACTGAACATTTTCGATGAGGGATGTTTTTTCGCATAGTTTAAGCATTTTTTGTTCATTTTTCGTCAATTCTCACCCTGGATACTAGTTTATTCTTTACACATTCAAGTAGCGGCTTAGTAGCTAGTAGCTTGTTTAACTTTCTTTTCTAGTTCAGAAAGAATTGTTAACGGTAATTTTGAGTGCTATTTGCCTAGTCCCTGTACGGTGTCTTCTTAGGCCTTCTCGGTCAATGCATTTCGATGACGTATCCGAGACGAACGGCTACTCACTCGGACCACGTGACCCGCAATGCATCTGCCGCGCGCAATAATGAGGCAGACTAGGTAAGAGTGCTTAAAAGGAAAATGCATATAAAAGGCGCAAGGAATCCAGGCACACGGACACCTGGTGCTAATTTTTGACCTTTTTTCATCAGTTTATTGTAAGACATCTCTCTGTAAGGCGAACAACGGACAGTTGGAAAGAGTGCTATCAGTGCAAAATACTTCAAAATGGAAATAAAGGCTCGTGATATCGATATAACAGTGATAAATTACGATCTGGGAAGCAAATTTAGATTTTAGCCTATGGCCTATAGGAAACAAGGGATTCGAATAAATAAGGGTGAAATTTTTGTTAAATAAAATTGAATTACTTGGCATTGAAGTACTCTTGTTGTTTATGGTCAATTCTGCTAGTATATTTCTCGTGGAAAGCCTGGAAACACGCTTTGTTTGGATTCAGAAGTCGAGTTTCCAGGCTTTTCTACAAGAAATATAAGGGCAAAATTGACCAGAAACGCCAAAAGAGTACTTCAATGTACGTAATTCAAAAAATTTAAACTTTGCTGATCTTTATTTACTCGAAACATATGTTTCCTATAGCCCATGTCTAAACGTTTGCTTGTAATGAATTTTTTGATCATGCATTGAGAAACTGGATTTGAATTGCGCATAGGTTCAACATTAGACTCGTTGTGGCATAAATGGTGATAACTGATAATGCAGACACCACCCTAAGGCCAACTCTCCCCCTCCCCCCCCCCGGCACTGCCCTTCATTGTGCTTCGAAGAGAGCTCCCTATACGTTCCACTTTTACTTTTACTTTTACTCGTTCGTTGTATTCATTAGAGGCTGATGAAGCGTATACGCGAGGTGTTCATAAAGGCTATTCGTTTTTGGATATATTTTAAAGTTCGCGGCACCAACTAATAACACATCAAGTGAGTGGTTTTCAATAGCGTATTGCATTTTTGTTAGCCATTTTTAGTCATACCTGTGCTTAAAACCATGAAGAGCTCGCTGGCCTTAATTACGCTAAGTTTCTCCCAGAATTTTTTCCTTGCAAGGATAGTTGTTCTGGTCCATTGAAGTTTAAACGTATTCTGCTTAAGTAAAGGCCAATGTTACATCTTCAGTCATCGCGTTCGTCAGAATGCATTATAATCTGTTGTTTTGCTGTGGCATTAAGGCAGGAATTTTTGAGCTATCACGAGCGACTGCAAATTAGCGGCCCTTATTAATTCCTCCGCCGGGAAACTGGACTTCTTTCGACTCGACTTCGTTCCGTAATTTTTCCGTAAGTGACGAACGCGGATCCGTAATCAATGATTACTTCTCTTTATAAAAATGATAGTAATAATCTGCAAACAGACCCCCTAATCTTGAATCTTCATTCCCGGTCATAAGTACGCTTAAAAAATCACCTGTTTTTATACGCTCGTCAGGTAATCTTACGATAGTGAAAAAAGGCCTTTATACGTTAAACATTTAATCCCATTGGCACCCTCATGCTTAAGGTCCCTAATTCCGCTCTAATGCGCATTGTTAACCTCTGATGCAACCTCGTTACCAGGGTTCTCTTCTACCCGTCCCTACTGTGCGAGAGGGGGGTAGGAGAGAAAACCTGGGAACGACGTTGCCTCTGATGTACACTCAAAAGCCGTCGTTAAGAAAAAAGAAGAGCAACAAACATTTCCGTGAATAATGAAGTAAAATCATGATTGCATCAAAATTTATTTCAATGACAGCCTTAAAAGAGTTCCGAAACGACTTGACCCCTTCTTTACACTCACCGATGGTTAACTTAAAAAATAGAATGAGTCATTAATAAAGTACTTTAACAAAGTTACGTGTGCCCTTAAGTAAGCCCGTAAGTTACCACGTAAAACAGGAAATTAGGAGAGTGCTAAGTGCGTTCCATGCAACACCAGTAAGTGAACCCATAACGGATTCGTAAGTGACCTACTTAGGTGAGCACCTATGTGTAGGTTTTATGCAACCGGACCCCAGGGGAAGTAGGCAAGTTCCTACCTCATTAAGGTAATAACCAGTGCTCGTTTCATGTTCCTCCAAAATTTTAATCAAACACGCAATACATGAAAAAAATTATTAACTCAAATTACCTCTTTCTAGAATAATGGTACACTAGCCAAACTAATATAAATAATTTCTAGAATCAAGCTATTGCCGGATGTATAATAGGCAATGAACAATCTCTCTCTAAATTAGACGGATATCTCGCTAAAACGAACACTACTACAAAGTGCTACGTCTCAGTAAAAAAAAAAAACCAGTCATATGTATTTACAGAAAGCAAGAATCTAAACCGCTAAATACTGAATAAATGAGTTGCCCGCTAATAAAATATAACAATTGTTCATGTTTGTAAAAGTAAGAAAAAAAAACTCATCGCTACCTTGCAATAACCGAACGCTGTGCTCGTGAATGACTATTTACCCACAGGAAGTCCAAGCTCAGTGTGAGAGTTTTAAAATCATTAATACATGTGATTTCATATTGCGTAATCCTTAAAATGGACTTCAATTAGCCTGCGAGCAAGCTCTCCTATTAGGGCGAGTGAAGCGAGCCACGAGAGAACGCGCGAGCGAGCGGCGAAGCTGCGAGGGGCCGCGTAACCTCTCGCATGCCTCCCGCGCGTCTACTTTTCACGATATCCCCCAAATGGAGAGCTTGCTCTCAGGCTAGACTTGAACTGTATTTTATGGAAAATTCTAGCGGTTATTTATCTACTTGAATCTTTTACCTGAATTCCCATCCAAATCCTTTATATTCAAGGCCACTTTAAGGATTACGCAATATGAAATTAAAAACGCATGTATTTATGATTAAACTTGCAAACTGACCTTGGGCCGCCTGTGATTTACCTTGCACGCAAAAGTTTCTCTCTTGCTCGGAGTTTAGCGTTTATGAAGTCGTTCGCATCGCTTGTTAGTCGTGTTGTTGGTTTGTTTTATACTCCTGGGGCGTTTGACTGGAAGAAAAACAACTACAATCAACTCCCTTTATAGCGGACACTGTAGGGACTTCGAGTTGGTGTCCTCATTAGCGAGAGTTTATTTTTGTCGAACGTCTGTAATTTATTTTTAGCCCGGGATTTAGCTGCTATCGGGGTGTCCTTTATAGCGGGGTGTCCGCAAGGCGAGAGTTGACTGACTGACATACGATGGGAACGACTTCGTAAACGCTTAAAGCCATGCAAGAGAGAAACCTCTGCCGGCAGGGTGATGGCTATTTGATCTTGCCTTTCAATCAACAGACAGAAGTTTTTTGTAATGTCCTTAAGAAGCGTGTCTTTCAAATAACAAAACCGAGTCAATGTGTCGTAGTTATGATTTGCTAGCATATCAAATGGTACTATCAAGGGGTACTATTTAATTATCTAAAATGGTTTGTAACCATAAAATTTACCATGTCGCTACACAGAAAACACTGGATCGCTTACAGTGCTACTGGAAAACATGAACACAGTGCCGGTCACTATCAGAAACAAACAAATATGCAGTATTGGAGATGACAGCATAACGAGGGTAGCCACCCTCAAAAAAACCCCCAGCTATCTGAGCGATATACTTTCCATCAAGAGTGAAAAGTTGCAGTCTTCTGTTTCCAGCATCGCAAACGATCAAACGGTTAAACTTGTCAATAGCGAGATCTAGACCAATGGATTTCCCAAACTGCCCGTCACCAGATCCTTTGCTGCCAATGTCATATAGATACTCCCCTGCGTTGTTAAATACCATGAGACGGTCAGCAAAAGAAAAAGAAACAAAGAATTTGTCGTGGTGATAAACGACACAGCACGGGGTTAAATTACAATCTGGGTCTTTAAACGACTGAAGTAAGTCTTTCCCATCAGCTGTAAGAACTTTGATTCTTTTGTCACTTGAGTGACAAACAACACAGACCGGGGTGTTATTACAACCTGTGGCTTTGAAAGACTGAAGTAAGTTTTTCCCATCAGCTGTAAGAACTTTGATTGTCTCGTCATAAGCGTCACCTGTGATAATGCGGCCATCACTGATAACAGATACGTACCACGGATCCTTTACATGTCCACCGCCGATGTAGCGGATAAACTGACCATTTTCAGTAAAGAGTAAAATTTTATTGACGCTATTGTCACGAACAAGGAGGTCACCTGCCCCTGTGAAAGCCAACGAACGAGAGTTACCCTTCAGTGCAATCTCTCTGAGGAAATTCCCTTCAAAGCTAAACATCTGAATTCTTTTATTACTATAATCAGCAACAGCAAGTGTTCTAGTTTTATCATTCACAGCAATACCCCCAGGCGAGTTAAACTGTCCTTGCTCTTTTCCTTTTGATCCAAATTGAAACGCAAATTGATACTGATGCGGAATCATCTGCACAACCCAGGGACTATCATTCAGCGGCTGTCCATTAACTTGGATCTCTACTCTATGTTGTCCAACACACTGTGGTGTATATGTTACTGTGTACTTGCCGTCTTTGGTGTCTTTTAACTCTGTTTTCAGTTGATCACCTGCAGGATTTAATATGTTGACTTTAATCACATCCTCTTCATGATAGCACAGTTCATCATCCGAATTTCGGGTTACAATGGTAAATTTTGTTTCCGTTTTTTCTTTTACATTTTTCAGACTTGCCATTTCAGCAAACGAAAGCGAAGGATCTGTGTCACTGACAATAATACGATCCAATATCTTCACTTTCTTTTCAACCATATAATTTACGTGCGAAGGTTTATAAATGTCAAGTTTTCTGGCTTTTAGAAGTTCCTCACAGCGTTTAACAATAGCTTGGTTTGTTTGCAGAATTTCAGCACTGATGTTTCTTTGTACGATACTCTCACCTCGTTCAACGCAACTTTTTAGTTGAGTCAAAACCAACTCAAAATTTTCTAGTTGTGTCGCCTGATGTTTTTGTTGCGCCTCATAAATTTCAGCAAATTTGGCTTTCATGACCCTCTCATGTTCCCGTAATTCACGGATACGTTCCTCCACGGCATCTGTCATCTTCTGTTCTGCTGACAAAATCTCATTTTTGGTTTTGTCCATTAGCTCGGTTTGTTTCCTTATTTTGCTGTCGTAAATTACAGTTTCCACTTTCACTTTCTCCAAAGCGTCCTTCATTTGCATCTTCTGTACTTGTGCGGCTTCCTGAGTGTCTGTTATGGTGTGTCGATTATGGCTTACTATACAGCACTTCTGGCAAATAAGAACTTTGCATTCTTCGCAATAAAATTCCAGCGGTTGATTTTCGTGATATTGCTGTGAACACATGACGGGTCTGTGGATCAAATCTTCCACATCTTGCGCTTGCAATTTCTCTATCACAACATTGCGATGACCTCTTGTGGCCTTCAAGCGTTGGTGAGCTTCAAAACAAGGAGTGCATAGAAAGTTCTGGCACACGAAACAGTAGGAGGAAGCGGTGTTGTTCTCATCACAACTGCCACATTTTTGGGCCTGTGCGCCGCTATCTTTAAGATCGAGAACATCCTTCAGTCGGTTGAGATGATAAGATGTGGGCAAGTTCTTGAACGAGTCGCCTTCGGGAATTTGAAATGATGTCTGACAAACCGGACATTTGATCGTCGCTTGCAGCTGCCTTCTGGCGAAGCCTGCATGTTTGTCGAGACACTCGAGGCAGAATGAGTGAAGACAAGGTAAAGTCTTGGGATTGTTAACTGTCTCCAAACACAACGGACACTCTGCTTCTTTCTGAAGATTTCTGAAGAGTTGTTGTACATCCATGGTCCAATATGGGTGGGATGATTATGCGTAACTTGATCAGAAATGAACTGTTGTAATCAGTTCGGGAGTATGCCAGTTTTGAATGGTCAACAACCATAACATGATCACCATGGCGATGGTCATTTTCAAAACATTCAAAATGGCGGACAAGGGAGAGGAAAGAGTATTGACCAAAATTCTCGTTTATTCTTGTTTTATCGAACCTTTTATTTGTCTTCTCGATTCTATGAATTGGGAAGTACCTTGAGGACAGGGAGTAACCATTCTTGCGCTATAGTTCTTCGCTTATCGCGCGCTTAGTGGGCACTACGTACTTACTGCGTAGGTAATCAGTACTTCGAAAATACATGTAGGTAAGGACGCTAACAAGTTTGTGCCTATTTATTTCATTACTTTTTTACATTATAAGAAAAAATAATGCTTTGGAAACAACTAGGATAGTGAGTTGTTCTATAATTTATTTCCTTATGTTTGCAAGGAGTAAGTTTTAACGTAATTTTTCCCGTTGCTTCTGTTTCTCTCTCGGGGAGTGAGCGACTGGCTGGAGAAGACGGCTGTAATTCAGGTTATTGTTTTGGTGCAAGCGAGTCATTTGTGAGTAAAATATCTGTTTTTTCGAATATGCTGTTCCGTTGGTTTATGTCCTGAAGCGGTATTAAACGTCCAGGTGTACAACAGGTTTACAAGGGATTTCTGAGGGTATTGTGTCCGCGTTTTCCTCTTGACAACCCACGAAGTGAAAATCCTAGTATCATCCCTGATCATTTTTTTTTGTCCCGCTTCAAGAAAAACCTAGTGCTTTCAATTATTCCACTGCCTGAAGTTCAATGATTATTTGCTCAAGGTTAACAAATGCAACTATAATGCAAGAGACTGTTTAAAATTTAATACAGGGTCCGAAATTGCGCCTTCCTGGTCGCCAATGCGACTAAAAATTTAGTCCTGGCGACCAGAATTTAATAGCTGGTCGCCAGCTAGCGACTTGTAAAGTTGGTTGTTATTGTGGACTTTAAGGTTCGTAGAAACTGATTAAGAAGTGAAACCTCGAAGCTATTTGCCAACAGGTGTCTTACTTTTTGTCCTGGTGATATTTTTTAACTAAAAGTGAAACGAATCTTCCTGTAATAATCAGAATAATACCTCCACAACGGCTACGATCAATACGAGTTGAACGTTTCCAAGCCGCTATGTTGTTTTCAGCTGAAATACGGTAAGTACGTTATGTACTTTGTGGACTGTAGGCTTTTGTACATTATGCTTTTGCTTCCCTACTAAAATGCTCCACCTTAATGCTCCATTTTTGCTACTAAAATGCTCGGTCTCCCCAAAAAAGTCACTGCTAAAATGCTCGGCTAACGCTCATTATACAAACGGCTTTTTAAATTAATTTCAAAGTTTACACTTACAAAAACGTGCAAGTGTTGCAAGTAACAACGACAACGTGTACAAGTTCATAAATACAGCAAAAAAAAAAACAGCTGTATTAAGTCTTTTGTGAATTTTGAGTTTTAGTCTTCATTTTGTTTAAAAAAGCAGAAGCTCATGGGGCATGGGCTCCTGAAAAAAGTTAATTTCTATTTTATTTTCTCGGAAAAATTAATCTTCCGGGGAAAATGCCACTAAAATGTTCGAATAATGCTCAATACTTTTGCCTCACTAAAATGGTCGAAAAAATGCTAGCATAATGTACAAAAGCCTAGTGGACTGGTATGAGTAATGTGGCACAGTTGTGGCCTGGTACTGTCACAGTCATGGGCATCGCGGCTTGACTCGTGTTTATGTTTCGTGTTTCGTGGTAGTTATCGGAAGAAAATAGAGTTTGATATGATCAGTGCAGTTATGGGCAGACAGCTTTCTGTTCCTACGTTGTAGGTCAGACAGTTCTATATCTCCAAAAAGTAATTTGTGGAAAAAATAAGACTTCACTCGTACACGTACGGTTGCTTTCTGGTATCGGGAGCGAAAGTATTGCAATTTTTGAGCATAAAAACGTCCATACCATGCATTTTTTATTCGTGTTTAAACTTTTATTTGAAAAATAGGGAGGGGAATTTTTTGGCGACCACAATTTGCCCTCTGGCGACCAAAAATTTATACTTGATCGCCAGTTGGCGCCCGTAATAAAAAGTTAATTTCGGACCCTGTAATATACACAGTGGAAAACTAAGAATGCCTGTTACATGTTTTTGGATCTATTGATTTATTGATCATAGTATCCTATTTTAAAAGATGGGATACCACAGTCTGAAACAGTCCACCGGATTTGATCAGAGGTCAGAGATTAACAAGGTTATGGGTTGTTGTAAAATATCCTCTTACATGGGATTTGATGTTACATCCGAATACTAAATTATAACTCTGGGGTTGCCTGCAAACCAGAGGCATTGTAACTTCGAGGAGCACTTTTCTCCTTGACAAGGTTTGGCCCAAAATAATAATGATTGCTGCACTTGGCATGGACACAAAATAAGTTTTTCTTTCTCTTTTGCATAGTTCTCCATGTTTCTATTGAACAGCACTTTCAGGAAAACAAAGCTCACACATCAGTGTAAAGATACAATAAAAGTTATTTCTTGTTACACTTTGTTTTCTGTGAATAAACATTTTATTTCTGGTCGTGACATAAACTGCTAGCAAGGGAGCCATGCAAGTCATGCAAGTGAAGTCAATGTTTTTGACGATCTCAATACTTTTGTAAGTTTGAGAGAATGACTGTGCATCTCTTGAAACATCTTTTACTTGGCCACGAAGCAAATTGTAGGTCAACAATTGCAGGGAGTCCACTGGAAGAGACTTAATAACCCCCTTGATTAATTCTTCTGGTAAACTACTATCCATAAGGGAAGTGACGAGGATAACTTGTTCACTGACTGGCAGTGCCTGGCTGTATCTCACAGCACCCTCAGTGTCAGTGTCCTCCTCTATTTCAATAAGTTCTTTTAATATGGCTTTTCTTGCCATACTAGGGATTCTTGGTAACAACCGTCTCAAATCATGCATGAAAAGAGAGTAAAAGGCGACATTCTGATCATCGGTGTCAGGTCCACATTCATTCTCTACTGAAGCAGTATCTGTGTTGCATGCTGCCGTCTTGACGATGTGGACTGCCTTGATGATCATTTGTTATTTCTCCCCTGTGACGATTTCTTGGGGAATGAGGTGCAGACTTTACATTCCACATGATCATGAGGCACCCAAAACTCGACAGTAATTTGAGTTGCAGCTCACCACTCTTGTATCGAGTATTTGAGCAGATTCTCGACAAGTATTGCACACAAATTGGGGGTGAACATGAGGCGAATCTAAAGCAAAATTTTGCCCCCAGAGCACAAATATGTCGTTCTGAAGATATTTAGCATTTGTGTTCCACGCTCATTTTCCAAGCTTTTTGGCACAAACGCGACACGTTTGTAATATCTCTACATTTTGGCACGGACATCCTGATCGAAATAAAAGAAATCAATATAAGAACCGACACACAGTGATTAAAAACTCATTCCACACACATGATCTGGATCAATAAAGCGATTTCTAGGTGAGAGTCTCATACATTGCCGATGAAAATAGCCAAAAACAGACTTGATCGATTATAACTAAAACTACATAGACAGATTAAGGTATACCCATCAATATCAGTAACCCTTCCTGTCCGTTGGCAATTTTCAATGTGTGGCTGCCATTTTTACTAGGTTGTTGCTATCGATGAAACTTTGCCTGAACATACTTTACACGTTGTAGTTTTAAGGAAAATTAGTCTTGATTTCGTAAAATTCGGCAAAATACTAAAAAATAAACATAAAGACATGTACTTACATTTGATGCCCGTCAAGATGGCGGCGGCGTCTTCGAAGGCCGTTTCTAAACTGTCGCTTTTAACTGCCGAAATCGGGCAGGAAACTTCCCTTGACATTCAAAAGGCTTCTTCGTCGGCACTGCTAGCTCGGATATTGAACGAGAGGACCTGGATCAGGCTTTGAAAAAACCTCCATGTTTCTTGCGATTATTTTTTCCCATTTTTGCGGGATCATGACGTCACCGCTTCTTCCAAAAACTGGCATACTCCCGAACTGTTTATGTAACAGTCGAAATTGTAGCGCGCCCATTGGTCGACAGTTATTGTCTATCACAAAGCTTTTTACAGTGGTACCTTTTTACACACTAAGGTGAAGCGTAATGACGTGCGCGATTTTCCGAGAAAGTTTGCCGGAATCATGGGTATCCAAGGCTCGGGATAGATAGATCGTCATCGTATTGGCGAAGTTGTCTTTTGAGTGCCACCAAACCTTTGACGATTTGAGCATAGTATTCCAGCTTTTCAACTCAACTTACTGGCTGGAACTGAACTTTAACGGTGGATCGTTAAACTTTAAAGGAAAGGCCTTACTGATTTATAGAAAACTACATTTTGTAATGATTTGCAAATAAACCTCCATATCTTGCATTTAGCTAATAGTCTTATTTTTACACCTAAAAATTAGGAATCTTGCTTAAACTTCGTTGCTTAAATCTTCTTGCTTAAGCTTAAACTCTCCATTTCGAGTGGCGAGCGAAGCGAGTCGTTCGAGAAGGCGCGAGCGAGAGGAGAGCAGGAAAAGGAGAATTCCTTTCTTTCTCCACCCCTCGCACTCACGTCTCCTTTCGCGTGTGGCTCTCGCGTGACTACTCGCGACTCCCCCAAAAGGAGAGCTTGCGCACAGGCTAAGATGCACTCTCTTGCCTTTTAAAAGTTAATAGGTACGCTCCTTAATATTAATATTAATATTATAAAGGCCAGTGTTACAAAATACTATTCAGCAGCTGTCTGTTTACACGTTAGGATTTATGGGAACGATCTTTCTGTCTAAAGGAAACGCCAATATAAACAGGCGAGACATTTCTTGCCATTTTCATTTTATTTCAAAAATTGGACACGCGTCGTTGAAACCAGGCCCTTTACTTTTACCTCAAAATATCCGGTAGCACGGTTTAACGACTATAAGCCGTTTTTTTAACGGACGGCA